CTTGGACCCTTAGGGTTAGGGCTTAGTGACTAATATACTGACACCACTAATTAGCCTAAACCTCCGCACTCCAAACCCTTAGCCCTGATGAGCACAAAGGCTCCGGCAAGGTTGGCTTTGGCCTCGCAGCAGTACACCTGAACCGTTTTGGGGCTTAGGGTTTACGGCGGAGGGTGAAACGACCAAAGGCAGAAGACTCCAAGGGGACCCTGATTGACAACATAACCCGAATTCTTGTGGGAGAACTGTCAAAGAAAAGCCCAGCAGACGAGTCCGTATGTCCCTACTTCACTTGAATTTGCACTTATGATGAACCTGTCGTACTCCCGACCCTGAACCCTCTACCCTAAAACCCTGAACCGCAACCTTGGGAAGCTTTGCGCTAATCCCCATAAAGGTCTAATAATGTGGGCTGCTGGGGCCAGTTACGACCGTTCTTATACTCTGACCCTTCTGGGTAGTTCTCAAAACTAGGGTCCTTGCTAGGGTCCTTTTATAAGGGTGCTGCACTATATTGGGGATTCAAGAAGGGACCCTAATTTAGAGAACTACCCATATGCAAATAAGGAAGGAAGTCTGTGGGTGCGAATTCAACGATGGGAACATATCTCGTCCCTCAATTTTTAATTACGATCAAAAGGTCCTAAACCCGAAAAAGCACCAAGAAAAGCAGAACATTTCAGAATTAGAACCCTAAGGCGCGTGAGACACCCGTAGAACCCCTGACAACCCTAAACCCTAAAAATCCTTAAACTTCCCAAAACCCTGCAGCCTACCGGCCAGCGTACAGAACCCGGAGAACCAAGATCTTGCAGTTTCCTTTAGTTAGGGAATAGACCTTGAATCCTACTATACTATAAGGCACCTTCAGCTTCATCAAGGGATGTTAACTTTAAGGCCTATTCCTGAATTTTATGCTATACTTCTTAGCCTATTCCTAAATTTTATGGTATATTTCTTAATAAAGGGATATCCTGGAAGGTCTGGGAAGCAACAGCCGGGGACGGCGCCCTTTCCACAGTCTCCTCGGTGAAGAGGAAGCCACGCGAGAAGCTTTGTCCAGGCCTTCCGAGCATATCTTTTGGGTTCAGGGTTAAGGGTTCAGGGTTTAGGGTTTAGAGTTTAGGGTTTAGGGTTGACGGTATAGGGTTTAGGGTTTAGGGTTTAGGTTTAGGGTTTTGGGTTCAGGGTTCAGGGCTAATGTCGGGGCCTTCATAGTTAGAATACGGTTCTAGCGTCTACTTTACTATATAGTTATAATAAGGAACCCCCAAAACCCTATTCTAATAATTATTACAGCCCTTATATTAGGGGTTGAGAGTTTAGGGTTGACCTTGAGCTGCCATGACCGAGTTTTATTTGGTTAGGATCCGGGTCTAGGGCTTCGAGTTTACCTGAATGCTACCATAGCTTACTTTTTTGTAGGAACCCTAAACCCTAAACCCTATCTTCTTATAAGCCCTACATGCAGAAGCTTTCGGGAGGGTCTAGGGTTCACATCATGTGACAAGAAAGGTTACTACCGGTACCTTTATTGGGGTCACAAGTAGGGTTTAGGGTTTGCCTTCAGCTGCCATAATCTCACCATGAACCCGAATTTAGAATTTATAGGGTGCGCAAACAGGGAAAGTAGGTTTTGGCGGGATAAGATAGGGCCTGGAATTTGTGGGCTGATCTGAGGAGTTGGACGTGTTGTGTACGGACTTGCAGTTCGATTCATGGTTAGTTTTTGTGAGGGCTTTGCACCACATTTTTGCTAGGGCTCTCACTAAACCCTACCTGGACCCTTAATAACCTACCCTTTTAAGGACTTAATATTCGGAAATCATAGTAAAGAACCCGAAAAAAGGTAGGTTCTTTAGGAAATCATAATAAAAAAACCAGAAAAAAGGTAGGTTCTTTAGGAAATCATCATAAAGAACCCGAAAAAAGGTAGGTCCTTTAGGAAATCATAATAAAGAACCCGAAAAAAGGTAGGTTCTGTAGGAAATCATAATAAAGATACTGAAAAAAGCAAGGTTTTTTAGGAAATCATAATAAAGAACCCGAAGAAAGGTAGGTCTTTTAGGAAATCATAATAAAGAGACAGAAAAAAAGTAGGCTCTTTAGGAAATCATAATACAGAGCCCGAAAAAAGTAGGTTCTTTAGGAAATCATAATAAACAACCCTACAAAAGGTGGGTTCTTCAGGAAATCATAATAAAGAACTCGAGAAAAGTAGGCTCTTTAGAAAATCATAATAAAGAGCCCGAAAAAAAGTTGGTTCTTTAGGAAATCATAATAAAAAACAAAAAAAGGTAAAACAAACGTAGGTTCTTTAAGAAATCATAATAAAGAACAAAAAAAGGTGGCTCTTTAGGAAATCATAATAAAGAACCCGAAAAAGGTAGGTTCGTTAGGAAATCATGATAAAGAACCCGAAAAAAGGTAGGTTCTTTAGGAAATCATAATAAAGAACCCAAAAAAAAAGGTAGGCTCTTTTGGAAATCATAATAAAGAACCCAAAAGAAAAGGGTGCCTCTTTAGGAAATCATAATTAAGAACCCGAAAAAAAAACAGGTTCTTTAGGAAATCATAATAAAGAGACAGAAAAAACGTAGGCTCTTTAGGAAATCATAATAAAGAGCCCGAAAAAAGGGTAGGTTCTTTAGGAAATCATAATAAAGAACCCGAAAAAAAAGGTAGGTTCTTTAGGAAATCATCACAAAGAACCAGAAAAAAGGTAGGTTCTTTAGGAAATGAAAATAAAGAACCCGAAAAAAGGTAGGTCCTTTAGGAAATCATCATAAAGAACCCGAAAAAAGGTAGGTCCTTTAGGAAATCATAATAAAGAACCCGAAAAAAGGTAGGTTCTGTAGGAAATCATAATAAAGAACCCGAAGAAAGGTAGGTCTTTTAGGAAATCATAATAAAGAGACAGAAAAAAAGTAGGCTCTTTAGGAAATCATAATACAGAACCCGAAAAAAGTAGGTTCTTTAGGAAATCATAATAAACAACCCTACAAAAGGTGGGTTCTTCAGGAAATCATAATAAAGAACTCGAAAAAAGTAGGCTCTTTAGAAAATCATAATAAAGAGCCCGAAAAAAAGGTAGGTTCTTTAGGAAATCATAATAAAGATACTGAAAAAAGCAAGGTTTTTTAGGAAATCATAATAAAGAACCCGAAGAAAGGTAGGTCTTTTAGGAAATCATAATAAAGAACCCGAAAAAAGGTAGGTTCTCTAGGAAATCAATATAAAGAACCCGAAAAAAAGGTAGGTTCTTTAGGAAATCATCACAAAGAACCCGAAAAAAGGTAGGCTCTTGAGGGTCCAGGTAAACCCTAAACCGGGCGGGGCTCTATGAGACTCTGCCGGGATTCTGGACGGTTTTTGTGTGGGGATTTCGGGCTCAGGGTCTAGGATGATCTAGGGTTTAGGGTTCAGGGTTTAGGGTTTAGGATTTGGGGTTTAGGGCTTATGTTCAGGGTTTAGGATTTAGGGGTTTAGCTTGCGGCTTGAGAAGTTAAGGACTTGGGGAGCTGTCGTTTTGGGGCTGGGGCTGCGGCTTAGTAAACAGGTTTTGGGGTATCTACTTAAGGGTATTTACTTAAGGAGTCGAGCCTACCTACAGGCCTGCTATCATGTTATAGTGGTTTGGACCTGGAGCCCAAAGGCAGCGCCCAACTTTGTCGGCAACTGGGTGTGTAGACGGTTTACGCTAAACCCTACACCCTAAACCCTGGGTGTGTAGACGGTTTACGGTGACAGGCGGATTGAAGGACCTGGTAGGCCGCATAAACACGAGCATCCTATGCTGCCACTGCGAACAAACGGATCCTAAATCCGAAAAGCGTAAACCC